TGTGTGTGTGCCAAAGACTTTCATGTGGCACGGGTAGAAAAAAAAAAAATTCGTGGAAAAGAGATAGAAAAAAAGCAAAGTTGTGAAAAGTATGGAAAAAAAGAGTTGAAAAAGATGTGAACAAGAGCTCTTAAGTGTTGATTGTTGAAGAAAGGGTCCAAAACATTGAAGTCGACCCTAAGTGTGCATGAAACTTCCCTTTATGTTTAAAAGTTGATTTCTGCATTCTAAAGTGAATTCTAAGTTTCAATTACATTACTTTGCTTGCTAGTGCTTAAAGAACGTTTGTTATCCCTATCCTTCCTTTGTTAAGCCATTACCCTTAGCCCCGTTACAACCCTCAACTTCTATCTTGAGTGTTATGTGTTTCAATTTGTGGAGTTTGAAGTTGGTATGAGCATATAGTGTCACTGGTTCTCGCACCTAAGTAGTAGCCTTTCATTCATGAGATCATATCTAAATACTTACTAACTCCAGAAATTGCTTTCTTTGTTATACATTTATGTGAGCGTTCGTTTTCATGTTTACATCAATCTTCTCACATATAACTAGTATAGGGTGTGTAGTTAGAAAATCTGAGTGAAAATTGAGTGCATATCTTGTAAGGAATTGAGCAAATTCTCTAATGCATGTTACTACATTCAAAACATCGTTTTAATTGGTTAAATGTGAACTAGTAAGTAGTGACTATGATTAAGTATGTGCTCAAGTGTAAGGATGACTAAAATCTGTGGGAATGATGATTTTTAATATGTCATGTGCATTGGAAATCCCTGAGGCAAACGTTGGAAGGTTTAGGTTTTGTTTGTTTGTTATGTTTCGTTTTGTTTTCTTTTGTTTCTCTGTTTTGCTCGACAACTAGCAAAAGCTAAGTGTGGGGGAATTTGATAGGAGCATATTTATGCGACTTAGTGAGCTTGTTCTTGTGCATTTACGTTGTGTTTTCTTAGTTAAATTAGTCTTTTAAGCTAGTTTCATGTATTTTCAGGTTCTAAGGACAAAGTATGCAAAAAGGTGCATTTTGGAGCCTTTGGAGCAGTTTTGAGCATAAAATGGATATCACATGCTTGGAGCCAAATGGATGGACGAAATTAAAGAGCAAAGGAGGCAAGAAATGAAGAAATGAACATGAAGAACAAAGAGTTCAGAATTGGAAACCAAAGTTTCTAAAGTTGGAGGTTTCCATTCTTGAAAGTTTCTATTCTTGGATTGGAAGTTTCCTAATCCTTTTTCACCTTGGTTCCAACCCTTACCGCACCTTTCAAGCCTCTTCCCTCTTGGATTCTGATTTGTAAGGCCTTTTTCCTTGTGGATTTGGGTTCTACACATCCTTTTCAGAAACTAAGTGGGCCAAAACCCTTTTCTTTGTTGATTTAAACCCTAAACCGAATCTTTAGGCCCTAGGCCTTAAAATCTGCTAAGTTTAAACCCTATTCTGATTTCCCTAGGGTTGTGCTGCACCTAATGTTCTAGAAGCCTAAAAATCTGCATAAAACCATAGTTCTTTTCTCCCTTAGATGGGCCAAGCCTTTTATCTCCAAAACCCTAACCTCTTCCCATCAAATTTGTGAAAACCCTAGCTTTGCCGTGCCTATATATATGTGTTTTAAAGCCTAAATTTGTCACCACTTCCCTCCCATTCAGAAATACATCCAGCCTCATCCTCTCCACCATTCTACACCATTCTACATCCCTTTCCACCACCATACATCCTTGCCGCAACCCCCATTCAACCTAAACCTATTTCTGACTCTTTCATACGTCCATAACCATCCATAAACTCTTGTGCCGCATCAAGGTGGGGAAGAAGAAGGCCCTTGGCGTTTCATGCTTGCAGATTGGAGCGTTTTAGGTGTACTTCGTTCTTGTTTTCAATGTTTATTTTGTTATTACTTTCTGATTTTGCTGTAATCATGAGTGGCTAAACCCCTAATTAGTTAGGGGGAAGTTTAAAGCCATGAACATGCTTGAGACATAAATTGATTTCGTCCAATTGTGATTTGTTAAGTTGTGATTGCAATTCAATTATCTATTTCATTCATACCTGATTCTTGTATGTTTATTGAGGATGCATACTTAGTTTTCATACATGAATTAGATGCTAGAATATAAATGAGTTTCACCTAATCGTTACAAGTTTATATTCATTAGTAGTGAAGGTTGCTTATCACAATCGCATTAATTGAATTCTTGGCAAACGTATCATGCATTCATAGTTACAATTGTCTCGTCAACACTTATAATTTTCATGAAACGTAATGATCTCTTATTGTATCTCTATTATGCATTCATGTAGGGGACTTTTAGAGAATGATTTGGGTTGTTGCATGCATTCATCCAATCCAATGAGTAAAGGAAAATTTGAGGGTTAATTTGTGCATCACGGTTAATCTGGGGTGTTGAGCATCATAATCTATTGAAAATCAATTGGAAATCGATTCATGTTCAAGTGTGTCATGTGTGGAGAACGGACCTCTAACTAATCCATCCATCATCTTATTCATCAAATTTCGTTTTATAATCTGCCTAACTTTATAACTTGTTTGTTTGTTTCAAATTCGTCCAATTTAAAACCCCCCTTTTAGTTTCTTGTTTCAAAGTGCTCAATTTAGGTTTTGTTTATGTTTTTGAGTGTTTTGGTTCAAACTAAAACACTAAATGCGTCCAAAATTGTGTGAAGGTCAGAATCTGCCCAGATTGTGTTTTTAGGCAGTTTTGAGTGTTTTTAAGCTGTTTTGAGTCTTTTGAACCTGTTTTGAATCCCTTTAATCTATTCAAACGTTTTTAACTTTGTTTTTATGTTTTTGAGTCAGTTTAGAGGTTTTAGCAAGCCCTCCTAATCCCTGGTTTAGAACGATCCCTACTTGCATTTATACTACGATTTGACAACAAGAGGGTTTAATTTGTGTGCTTAACTTTTATCACATCATGGAGGCAATTAAATGCGCAACAAATGATCTCTAATCCTCGTTATGAGAGGAAGAATACTCTAAGATATGTGTAAACACAGAAAATTCCTGAAACGAAAGAGACAAGAACAACGTGCACAAACAAATATTTGTATTTGATGATTTTGGGTTACAATCTCTCTCTAATTTGATCCTCTGATTCAATCTCCGTAAGGTGTGTATTTGTGGATGTGTGATTAATCCAAAGGGCCGTTGGGCTTGATCTAAGGATGAACGTTCTTCAAGGGCCGTGGACTGTTAGTTCACATTTCATATGCATTTATAGCATTCATATTTTGTGTCTTTGTGATGTTTTTGATCAAACTTGTTGCATTTTACATTATTTGGTGTTAGTGTGTAGTTAAGTTTGTTTTAGGATCAATTGGAAGGCAATGAAGCAAAAACACCACATTTTGTGACCGAGAGCTAGTTCAAGCATGGAGAACATCTTGTGAGTTAACTTGAAGTCCAAGTGAAGAATTGAGGACAAGTTGGTTGCTAGAATTTCAGGAATTGACAAAGGTGCAATTCGGCCAGATTGGGTGATTTTATGCATGGCACATGCATTGGATTCAGATTGGGAGGTTTAACACACCTTGCCATGCATTTGGTTACCCTTTCAACCCCCTTTCTTCACCTAGAACATTCACCCCCATTAGTTACACCATTCAGCCACATTTCACCCACTAATTCACCCATGCCGTGCATTGTTAATCCTTGACAGCCTGTCCTTGCAGATTTCACATGCTCCTCCATTTAAATGACCACATGCTTGCCCATTCAACCCCATGCCGTGCACTATCCATTTCAGAAAGGAATTACCCCATCATTACACACACTAGCACTCCATATTTTACAATTGTTAAGATCCAATCTTGGATCTGAATCCAAAAGCTATTCCATCCATTCCCTTTAAGTGAGCTCCTTCAAGAAATCTGAAACTCTCGGAATTCCATCTTCAATTGGACACCAACTCTACATTCCATTATATACACTACATTCCATAACCTACATTCTATCTATCCCACTCCAGATTCGACATTCATTCTATTCTTCTTACACACAAACTCTCCATTTTCTGTCCATCCTCTTCACCATATTACACCAACCATTTCACCACAACCGTACCACCTTCATTTATACATCATTCTTGGAGGAGTTACACCACACTTGGAGAGCTAGCACCGAAGGCCATTCTCAAGTGATCTTCGATTCCAGTTTTGCTTCAAGGGGTTTTTCTTCTCAATTTTATGTACACTCATGTGTTATATTTATATGTCAAATCTTTGTAAACATGAAGTGTAACTAATCTCTCTATAGGGATTCGATGTAGCCTAGAAAGATTGCCATGTAGTTAATTTGGAATGCTCAGTTTATCATTCTATTTCTTGTTTCATTCTCTAATTTAATTGTGACTTTGTGTGTTGATTTTAATGCTTGATCACCATTTGAATTAACCATAAGTTGTTTAGCCAATCTTAGAGCACACATCATGCATAACCTTGGCAGATATGGGAATGATTGAAGGGAATGTTTGGCAAACATCATGCCAAGTGTTTCCTTTGGTTTTGTGAAAGTTTCTTATGCTTAATACATTCTTGTTTAGGAACCAAAGTTGCACATCACAATTAGGTTCATGACTAGGAATATTTGATCAAAACCACACATCATATGGATGATCATATCTAAGTGAAACAAACTCAAGAAATAGATAGATTGATGAGCATAATCTGAATTAACAATATGGAATTGATTAGAAAAGGTGAAATCGAATCCCTAGCCTTCTCCATATTGTTACAATCCCTAACCTCAACTCCCTTGGTTCTACCTCATTACATTACTTGTGATTCATTTACTTGTATTCATTTCATTTCCGTGTATTTCAAGTTACAACCTCAAAACTGCCTAAATTGTTTAGTTCTACTTTCTGTTAGGGTTCTTGCAAAACAAGTGGTTATATAGGTCTAATTAGTCCCTGTGGATTCGACACCCTTACTTGTGTTCTTATACTCAACATGTTTGTAGCACTAGGAAGGAATAACCTCATCAAAAATGGCGCCGTTGCCGGGGACTGATTTCAGTCCCTTGTAATTGTTTGTTTTGCTATTTAAACTTTGTTATTTTCATTCTAAGTAGAGTTTAGTTTTGATTTCTATTTAAGCTTGTTTGTTTTTGTTTTGTTTTAGGTAGTATATGTCACATAGACTTGTTGAGTTGGGCCAAAGAATTGAACGTTTGAAAGGCAACACTTTGGACAACTTTGTGCCATCTAGTTCATCCCTTGTCCGAGAGGAAGAGGAAGGAACTTCATCTAGTTCCACAAGTGCAACTTCTGAGCACATTCATTGGGAAAGAGACGAGATGGCTGCCAACCAAGATGAACTTAGAGCCTTGGAGGACTTTGCTCAACCAATCATACCAAACTCTCCTTCATGCATCTTGTTGTCCACGGAAGCTAGAAACTATGATCTTAAATCTTCACATTTTCATATGCTTCCTTCTTTTTATGGCATACCTAATGAAGATCCGTTAGCTCATGTTAAAGAGTTTTACAATGTTGTGAGTGGTTTACCTTTGCAGGGAGTAAGTGAAGCCAATTTGAGGATGAGAGTGTTTCCTTACACTTTGAAAGACAAGGCCAAGAGTTGGTTGATGACTCTAGCTCCGGGTTCACTCACCACATGGGATGCCGTGGCTAAGAAGTTCTTGGAGAAGTTCTTTTCCACTCAAAAGACAGCCACATTAAGGGGACAAATCTTCAATTTCAAACAAGATGATGGAGAACCCTTCAATGAGTGTTGGGAACGTTTTAAAGGACTCTTGTTGCAATGTCCACACCATGGGTTACCTCTTCACTTACAAATGCAAATTTTTTATGATGGACTAACCCAAACTTGTCAATCAACCGTGGATAATGCCGCAGGTGGAGCATTGAAGAAAAAGAATGCTCAAGAGTCATACAACATCTATGAGATGTTGGGATCTAATGCTCAACACAAAGATGTAAGAGGTAAGAAACTTGGAGTGTATGAAACAAATGCTAATCATGATCTTTCTTTGCAGGTAGCTAACCTAGAAAGAAAGCTTGAATCCGTGCTCAACTTGGTGCCAAAACCAAATGAGGTGTGTGCCATTTGCAACATACCAAGCCACCCTACTCATCAATGTCCATCTAGGGAGGCCTATCCCGAGTTTGTCCAAGAACAAGTGAACCTCATGAATTCTTACAATCAAAGGCCAAGGAATGATGCATTTTCAAACACATATAATCCGGGGTGGAGAGATCATCCCAACTTTTCATGGAAGAACAACAACAACTACCAAAACTTCCAACCAAAACCTGCCTCTACACTTGAAGATACGGTTAAGTGTTTGGCTCAAAACACCTTGCAATTCCAACAAGCCACAAATAGCACCTTCCAACAACATTCTGCTGCCCTAACCAAAATGGAGACACAACTCGGGCAGATTGCAGATGCCTTGAACCAAAGAGAGGTTGGCAAATTTCCAAGCCAACCCGTGATACTTCAAAGGAACCAAGAGCAAGCCAAAGCAATCACTACACTCAGAAATGGTAAGGTTATTGATAATAGAGTTGGAAATGAAGTTACTAATGAATTTGATCATGTGAATGTAGGTGGAAATGAGAAACCAAATGAGGAACCAAGCCATGCTTCTTCCTCAAATGAAGCACCAAATCTTCACAAGGCCGAGAAGCCTTACACTCCACCAATACCATTCCCTGGAAGACTTGCTGAGAGCAAGCATGATAAGTCATTTAAGGAAATTTTTGATATTCTAAGTAAGGTGAATGTTAACTTACCCTTGCTTGATGTCATTAGGAACATGCCGGCTTATGGGAAGTTCTTCAAAGAGTTAAACAATTACAAAAGGAAGTATGGACCCCATGAGAAAGTAGTAGTGTCGGAGAATGTAAGTGCGGTGTTACAAAGGAAACTTCCACCAAAGCTCAAAGATCCGGGGAGTTTCTCTATCAACATCACCAATGGGGACAAGAAAGTGGAGAAGGCCATGCTTGATTTGGGTGCTAGCATCAATTTAATGCCATACTCCGTGTACCTTCAACTAGGTTTGGGGGAATTGAAATCCACAACCATTTCATTACAACTTGCGGACAGATCCGTGAAGTATCCAAGAGGTATAGTTGAGGACATTCTAGTTCAAATTGATAAACTCATATTGCCTGCAGATTTTGTAGTGTTGGACATGGAGGAAGCACCTATACATGATAGAGAGTTGCCTATTTTGCTTGGAAGACCATTCATGGCCACGGCCAAGACCATCATTGATGTGCAAAATGGACTCCTCACTATGTCCGTGCTAGGAGAAACTGTCCAATTCAAAGTGTTTGAGTCTCTTTCTCAACCTTCTTCATCCCTTGATTGCTATGCCATTGATGTGCTTGATTCACTTGTTTTCTCTAAGTTCTTGCAGGCACAATCTAATGAGCCATTACAAACTGTTTTGACTCAATCTCAAGATGAGTTTGATGATGAAGATGCATTCATGGAAGTGGTTGCTGCCTTGGAAGCATTAGCACCATATCCTTTAAATGTTTCACCTCTTGTAGAGTCATTAGAACCATCAAGGTCACATTTAATCCCTTCCATTGTTAAGGCACCTAAACTTGAACTTAAACCACTTCCACCACATCTAAAATATGCATATCTAGCTGAATTTGAAACTCTTCCAGTTATCATAGCCTCGGACCTCACTCCTAATGAAGAAGATAAACTACTTAGGGTGTTAAAAGAGTCCAAATCTGCTATTGGTTGGTCTATTGCAGATATCAAGGGAATAAGCCCTACTAGGTGCATGCATAGGATCCTTTTAGAGGATGGAGCAAAGACAACCCGTGAGCCACAAAGAAGGCTCAATCCACACATGAAAGAAGTTGTGAGGGATGAAGTATTGAAGTTGTTAGATGTGGGGATCATATATCCTATTTCTGATAGCAAATGGGTGAGTGCCATTCAAGTGGTACCAAAGAAGGTGGGAATCTCAGTAATGAGAAATGAAAACCAAGAACTTGTGCCCACAAGACCCACGGCTAGTTGGAGAGTTTGCACCGATTACAGGAAGTTGAATTCTAACACTAGAAAAGATTACTTTCCCATGCCTTTCATAGATCAAATGCTTGAGAGATTGGCAGGTTACTCACATTATTGTTTTCTTGATGGTTACTCAGGTTACAACCAAATTGCAATTGCCCCGGAGGATCAAGAGAAGACTACATTCACATGCCCATTTGGCACCTTTGCATATAGGAGAATGCCCTTTGGACTTTGCAATGCCCCGGCCACATTCCAAAGATGTATGTTGGCAATCTTTTCTGACATGGTGGAAAGGTTCATTGAGGTATTCATGGATGATTTTTCAGTGTTTGGTTCCTCTTTTGATGAATGTCTTAACCATCTCTCCTTAGTGCTTCAAAGATGTCAGGAAACAAATTTGGTTCTCAATTGGGAGAAATGCCAATTCATGGTGAAACAAGGCATTGTTTTGGGACATGTGATCTCTAGCAAAGGAATGGAGGTAGACAAAGCCAAAATTGACATCATTAACAACATGGCAGCTCCCACAACCGTGAAGGGAGTGAGAAGTTTCTTAGGGCATGCAGGCTTTTATAGACGTTTCATTAAGAACTTTTCAATGATAACTCGGCCATTATGCAATTTGTTAGCTAAAGATGTTGTGTTTCACTTTGATAAAGCTTGTATGGATGCATTCCATACTTTGAAACATGAACTAACCTCGGCTCCTATCATTATGGCACCAGATTGGTCCCTACCTTTTGAATTGATGTGTGATGCCTCTGATTATGCTATTGGTGCAGTTTTAGGACAAAGGGTTAACAAACTCCCACATGTGATCTATTATGCAAGCCGGACTCTCAATGATGCTCAACTCAACTACTCCACAACTGAAAAGGAGTTGCTTGCTATTGTCTTTGCTTTAGAAAAGTTTAGGTCATATCTTGTGGGATCTAAAGTTATTGTGTTTTCTGATCATGCAGCCCTTAGGTATTTGATGACAAAGAAGGATGCTAAACCGCGCCTAATTAGATGGATACTCTTATTACAAGAGTTTGATTTGGAAATCCTAGATAAGAAGGGAAGTGACAATGTTGTGGCTGACCATTTGTCTAGGCTTGATGAGAACCATGGAGTTGGACCACCCTTGCCTCTAAATGAATCATTTCCAGATGAACAACTCTTTGTTGTTCAAGAAAAAGAACCATGGTATGCTGATTTTGTCAATTACCTTGCTTGTGGTGTATTGAGAGATGACATTTCGTTTCAGGAAAGAAAGAAGTTCCTTGCTATGGTAAAACATTACATTTGGGATGAACCATACTTGTTTAAGTATTGTCCTGACCAAATCATTAGGAGATGTGTCCCAGAAAGTGAACACCAAAGCATTCTAACATTTAGCCATACATTGGCATGTGGAGGACATTTTGGTGCCAAAAAGACATCCCTAAAAGTTTTACAATCTGGTTTCTTTTGGCCTACTTTATTCAAAGATGCTTTTGATTTTTGTTCTAAGTGTGATAGGTGCCAGAAAATGGGGAACATAAGCCGAAGGAATGAGATGCCTTTGAACAACATTTTGGTGGTAGAACTCTTTGATGTTTGGGGAATCGACTTCATGGGACCATTCCCATCCTCTTTTGGTTACTTGTACATTTTAGTAGCTGTAGATTATGTATCTAAATGGGTTGAAGCCATTGCTACAAGAACTAATGATCATAAGGCTGTGTTGAACTTTCTTAAAAATGATATTTTTTGTAGGTTTGGAACACCAAGAGCTATTATTAGTGATGGTGGTAGCCATTTCTGCAACAAACCCTTTGAATCCTTGATGAAGAAGTACAACATCAACCACAAAGTGTCAACCCCGTACCATCCTCAAACCTCAGGACAAGTGGAGATAAGCAATAGGGAGATCAAGAACATTTTGATGAAAACCGTGAGCCCTACAAGGAAGGATTGGTCTTTGAGGTTGAATGATGCACTTTGGGCATATAGGACAGCATACAAGACTCCCATTGGCATGAGTCCATATCGACTTGTGTTTGGGAAAGCTTGTCATTTGCCAATGGAGCTTGAACACCGTGCATATTGGGCCATCAAGAAGTTCAATTTTGATTACAAGGATGCGGGAGTAGCAAGAAAGCCCCAACTTAATGAGTTGGAAGAGCTTAGAAATGAGGCATATGAGAATGCCAAAATCTACAAGGAAAGGACTAAGCTCTATCATGACAAGGCCATCATGAGGAAGGAGTTTCACCAAGGTATGAAAGTACTTTTGTATGACTCACGTTTGAGACTTTTTCCAGGAAAATTGAAGTCTAGGTGGGTTGGACCATTCAAGGTGGTGCAAACATTTCCACACGGAGCTGTGGAGATTGAGAGCATGAAGAATGGCACCTCCTTTAAAGTCAATGGGCAGAGATTGAAACCATACTTGGACAATGTGGAGGATGAGCTAATGTATCAAGTTGTGGATTTTCTTGAGTTTACAACACCATGAACAAGCTGCCATGTCTTGCCTAGACATTAAATGAAGCGCTTACTAGGAGGCAACCTAGTGTGGTTTGTGTTCTTTCCTTATGTTGTGATTATGTTGTTTCCATGCCATATTTTTTTTTTTTTTGCCTACTTGCACTACATTCAAATGTAAACATTGAGGACAATGTTTAAGTTAGGTTTGGGGGTATTATGGATGGAAAGTTTGTTTTTGTGATGGTTTTGGTTAAGTTGTTTGTTTGAGTGTGAAAGGTTTGTTTTAGTGTTGAAAAGCATGTTTTAGTGTTTGTTTGTGTTTGTGTTGGTTAAATTTGTTTTTGCTTACTAATACGAATGTATATGAAGGCTATGTTTGCAAACAAACTTTGGGGGTCACTATGAAAGAGTTTTGTATCTTGTTGGCATGTATAAAGTTGTAACACTTGTGATATGATGATAGAGGTACCATACTCAAATTCACCAAGAAGAATAGTGGAGACTACCCTAGTGAGTTATTTTGAGCCTAAATTGCTTCTTTGAGAGGGTTTAAAGTGTTTCTACTCCTATCTTTTTCTTGCAAACTTCACTTTAAATGATCTCATTGCTACTATTTTGTTTGAATGCTAAGAATTACTCTCCTTTGTAGATACCAGGTGTTTAGTACCATTCATGAATGAAATCAATGAGATGATGTTAGGCTATGCATGTTTTAACTTCTAAAGGCTAAATCCTATCCCTTTGTGTGCCCCATTCACCCTCTCTGCAGCCAAGCACTTTTGCCTAATCCTTTCATCACCCACACCATACTCTAACCCCATCCTAGCTCAATACAAGCCGTACCTTATAGCTTGGGGAATGCCAATGTGATGAAGTCCAAAGGTAAATTGATTGATAGAGCAAGATTGTGGCGTGTACCAAAGGCACCTATGTGAAGTGTGGTTCTAAAAAAATTTGGGAGACTTAAAGAAAAGAAAAGAAAAGAAAAAAAAAAGAGAAGAGAATCAAGTGAAAACAAATTCCAAATCTCCTTATTATAAGACATAGGGCTTGGACACCAAAAATCAAGAAGAAAGAAGATAAATTCAAGTAAAAAGCATGGACCTCAAGGACACTTTGGTATGCCCCAAGCTCTAGTATTCCATATCACTTCTTTCATAACCTATAACCTAAGCCTTACATTACAATCTTGAGAAAGACCTAGTTGATCATTGAGGATGTATTCATGAGTGATGGTAAGTGTGTGTGTTATCTATATTCTTAGCATTTGATTCATTTCATGAGATCTACTCAGAATTGTGCTTTCATTTCAAGTTCATATGTGAGAATTTTGATTTCCTTTACATAACTTCACTCACATATGTTAGTGGAGAGACTAAACCTTAGGATCTGAGTGAGAACTTGAGTGAAAACCGTGAGGAATAGAGTTGAGGCGAATTCATTCTTAAGCATTTGGGTATGGTGACCTTGAAGTTGTAAGACATGGTGAAATATCTTTATACATTACAATTGATATGATTCTTTTGAATGGCAAGGCTTTTGAGTTTGAGTGTAAAACAAAGTTTCATGGGTTTTGATTAGTTTGTTTAAAGCATGTTTAACCAAATTGTGTGCAGATTTTGTAGATGTTTGAGGGTGTCATCTTTGTAAACCCTCAGGAGACACAACTCCTCCAACTAGGGACACCTAGGGGTTCAAAGGCTTGTTGCACATGCTCAGTGCAATCGTTTGGCCAGCGAAAGTGGTGTAGTTAGTTGTTAGTGTTTGTTAGATGTTAGTGTTTTGTGTGTTTTAATTCTAAGTTTGCTCGTGGACTAGCAAAAACCAGGTTTGGGGGTATTTGTTAGTTCACATTTCATATGCATTTATAGCATTCATATTTTGTGTCTTTGTGATGTTTTTGATCAAACTTGTTGCATTTTACATTATTTGGTGTTAGTGTGTAGTTAAGTTTGTTTTAGGATCAATTGGAAGGCAATGAAGCAAAAACACCACATTTTGTGACCGAGAGCTAGTTCAAGCATGGAGAACATCTTGTGAGTTAACTTGAAGTCCAAGTGAAGAATTGAGGACAAGTTGGTTGCTAGAATTTCAGGAATTGACAAAGGGTGCAATTCGGCCAGATTGGGTGATTTTATGCATGGCACATGCATTGGATTCAGATTGGGAGGTTTAACACACCTTGCCATGCATTTGGTTACCCTTTCAACCCCCTTTCTTCACCTAGAACATTCACCCCCATTAGTTACACCATTCAGCCACATTTCACCCACTAATTCACCCATGCCGTGCATTGTTAATCCTTGACAGCCTGTCCTTGCAGATTTCACATGCTCCTCCATTTAAATAACCACATGCTTGCCCATTCAACCCCATGCCGTGCACTATCCATTTCAGAAAGGAATTACCCCATCATTACACACACTAGCACTCCATATTTTTACAATTGTTAAGATCCAATCTTGGATCTGAATCCAAAAGCTATTCCATCCATTCCCTTTAAGTGAGCTCCTTCAAGAAATCTGAAACTCTCGGAATTCCATCTTCAATTGGACACCAACTCTACATTCCATTATATACACTACATTCCATAACCTACATTCTATCTATCCCACTCCAGATTCGACATTCCTTACACATTCATTCTATTCTTCTTACACACAAACTCTCCATTTTCTGTCCATCCTCTTCACCATATTACACCAGCCATTTCACCACAACCGTACCACCTTCATTTATACATCATTCTTGGAGGAGTTACACCACACTTGGAGAGCTAGCACCGAAGGCCATTCTCAAGTGATCTTCGATTCCAGTTTTGCTTCAAGGGGTTTTTCTTCTCAATTTTATGTACACTCATGTGTTATATTTATATGTCAAATCTTTGTAAACATGAAGTGTAACTAATCTCTCTATAGGGATTCGATGTAGCCTAGAAAGATTGCCATGTAGTTAATTTGGAATGCTCAGTTTATCATTCTATTTCTTGTTTCATTCTCTAATTTAATTGTGACTTTGTGTGTTGACTTTAATGCTTGATCACCATTTGAATTAACCATAAGTTGTTTAGCCAATCTTAGAGCACACATCATGCATAACCTTGGCAGATATGGGAATGATTGAAGGGAATGTTTGGCAAACATCATGCCAAGTGTTTCCTTTGGTTTTGTGAAAGTTTCTTATGCTTAATACATTCTTGTTTAGGAACCAAAGTTGCACATCACAATTAGGTTCATGACTAGGAATATTTGATCAAAACCACACATCATATGGATGATCATATCTAAGTGAAACAAACTCAAGAAATAGATAGATTGATGAGCATAATCTGAATTAACAATATGGAATTGATTAGAAAAGGTGAAATCGAATCCCTAGCCTTCTCCATATTGTTACAATCCCTAACCTCAACTCCCTTGGTTCTACCTCATTACATTACTTGTGATTCATTTACTTGTATTCATTTCATTTCCGTGTATTTCAAGTTACAACCTCAAAACTGCCTAAATTGTTTAGTTCTACTTTCTGTTAGGGTTCTTGCAAAACAAGTGGTTATATAGGTCTAATTAGTCCCTGTGGATTCGACACCCTTACTTGTGTTCTTATACTCAACATGTTTGTAGCACTAGGAAGGAATAACCTCATCATGGACTTGATCTTTGAAGAACAATGATGAATGGATCTCCAAGGGCTTTTGGGCTTGATCTTGAAGAACTGTTGGACGTGTGGATTTGTTGATGTTGTTGATCCAAGGGGCCGTCGGGGCTTGATCTTAGAAGAACGATGAACGAAGAACGAAGAACACTTTCTTCAAGGGCCGTCGGGGCTTGATCTTGAAGGTGGATGACTGTTGATCCAAGGGGCCCTCGGGGCTTGATCTTGGAAGAATGATGAACGAAGAACGAAGAACGAAGAACACTTTCTTCAAGGGCCGTCGGGGCTTGATTTTGAAGGAGGGTTTGATGAAGAACGAAAAGGGCTTTCTTGATCCTTCGGGATTTGCTTGAGAGCTTCGGAGCTTCAGAGCTTCAGAGTTTCAAGGTGTAATATGAATTCCTCCCCCAAAATGAATGAAATGGGCTTGTATTTATAGAATTTTCCAAGGCCTAATTTTGAATATAATATCCCAGATGAAATAAGTCGTTTCTGCCAAGTGTTGACACGTGTCCTGTTTGATGACTTTTCCAACTTATTTCGATTTTTTGTTTAGACACACGCTACGTGTAAAATTTATGTAATACATGAGCGTTGAAACTTTGATTTATCGGTCAACATTTATTTACCGAAATTTCGATGTCTACAAATGCCCCCACTTCAAAGCGCGTTGTATACATGTGTTTGTCAAGTGTAGGAGATGCGTTTTGAAGTCCCTTACTGTAGATGTCGATCCAGGGGCCGTTGAGGCTTGATCTTGAATTGGGCTGGAGATTTCTTCAAGGGCCGTTGAGGCTTGTTCTTGGACTTTGTTTGAGATTTCTTCAAGGGCCATCGGGGCTTGATCTTGAAGGTTGAAATTGGACCACAAGGAGTTTCATGTTGCAAATGATCCTTGGCTTTGGTAGTGGATGAACTGGCACGTATTTTGTTGCACTTGTTGACTTTCCACACCTTTGATCTTGAACTGGGTTGGAGGATTTTCTGGGTTCCTCCAATTGTTGATTTTCCACAGCTTATTCTTGAACTAGGTTTTGATTCAAGAATGGTAGACACTTGATCTTGAATCGGACTTGTGATTTCCTCAAGAGCCGTCGAGGCTTGATCTTGAATTTGGCTGGAAACTTCTTCAAAGGCCGTTGAGGTTTGATTCTTGAAGGTTGACTTGAACACATGACAAGCAGGCACGAGGTGAAGGTGACGGCTTATTCACACCTGAGCAGTTTGGTCAACGGTATGATCTTCAAGATTGATGGGCTATTCTTCCAGTAGGGGACTTGATCTTTAAGGGTTTGACTCAAGGGTGGTGAAACGGCACATGCAGCCCACGACGCCTAGCAAGTCGACCCAAGAATTTGAGGGTCAAAACGAGTC